CACTCTAAATTAGAAAATGTTTTTCGCTTGTTTCCTAAGATCACATCTTTCCGCATACAATATGACAACTTCAATAAAATTTCTAATGAGCTTCTCAGTATTACCAGATATATAGGTCTCAGTGAACAGGGAATAAATCGGTTGTAGGTATTTAATCTAGTTGTTGAGTTCTAACAAAATCAAGTTAGATCAGAATATTTGAATACGGCAAATCACCCAAGGGCTATCTACCTAAGGGAAGAGATTCGCTTGCAGAGAGCTTTCTAAGAGAAACTGACTCGTAATTAAATTACACATGAGAAAAACCACTAAGACCAACTATGCAACCAGACCGTGTACTTGGGACTGACCTCTCAGCATTAAGCTTTCTTATCAACTCAGCCACTGGTGATGTCTTTAAAAAAATATATTCTTTATAAAGTTCTAACAAGGCTATATCAATTCTGTATGTCTAATGTATTCTAAAGAGGTCAAAGGCAGCCAAAAGTAAATGTTAAATATAGTTCAAAAGGTATACAATTAAAATGCAAGGATGAAAAGTTATTCTCCCATACAAGAGAAAAGTTTACATTAATTTTCCCATACAAGAGAAAAGTTTACATTATCTGCAATTGCAACACAAATTCCAGTTAAACAGAGTCAGTGAATCTAAATGATGTAACCAGCTAGATTGGTATTATCATAACACTGTCTCTGAGTAAGCATTAAAATCATCCAATAAAATGGAATGACAATTCTAACGAACGATAAGGCAATCAAAATTTGGGCAATTATTAGCAAAATCATACATCAAAATATTTGATATGATGACTTCTATTAATAAACAAAAAAGAGTTAATTATTCAGATGTCAATATGTTGACTGAGTTAAAAATTATTTTCAAATACATAATATATAATTTTGTTGTTTGACATCTGAATTAGTACATAATACAACATTAACTAATGTGAATGCAGAGCTATATCCTTCTCAAAATGCATTTGCACTATCATGCACTATTATTAAAACATAAAATGCTAAATATGGTTACAGCATGCAGAGTAAGTCAATAACAGGGCTTGTGAAGATATAGCAATTAAAAATTTTAAGATGAAACTGCAGAAAAAAATATACATTCATTACACTGGGAGACAATCATTAAAGCACAAAATATTAAGTGTTGAAAAGATTTTTCCAAGATATGGAGATATAGACAATCAGTTAAAATTAGATGCAAAATTACGCCCCCCCCCAAAGAATAAATATTTAATCATTACACTAACTTAATTGTACATAATTAGAAATACAAAATATGAATAAAAATTTTATATCTTAATTCTCAACAGAAATTCAGAACAGAATACAAATTATAACCGTTCCGCAAGCTCCATTTATTGTGCCAATCCACGAAAAAATATTTTCATCAGATGGAAAAGCAGAGACTCCTTTATCACCAGACACCTGGAAATAGATAAAAATATATGCATACATGCATTAATTTTAAAAACAAAATTTTCATTTCAGAGAAATTCCAAAAATTTAGCTTACAGTTAAAAGATTTTCTAATGCAAACATATTTTAAAACCCTTATCACATTTGGCTACAGTCCCGGCTAGACGGGACTTTTCTGAGAAACGAGATTCTGGAGGCACTGATTTAACTAAGAGGATTCCTAGAAAAAAAGAGCCCCGCCTAGCTACAGAAGAGGTGTTGCGGCTACGAGGGATTTTTTCAAACCTGGCCGAAAATGTCTCGGGTCCTGGGTAGAGACAACCAATCAGACGAAAGTTCTGCTTCTTAAGGATCACGTGATCCCAATTTGAGCTATAATCGATTACTGTTTGGCATTCAAGTCTTTGTAGTAAGTGAGAATGGTAACCTAGCTACGTGCATTTCCTGGAATTGTGCGTGTTGTAAGAATTGTAATTAAATTACACATGAGTAATTTCAATGTCAAGTCCCGCATAGGCGAAATATAATGTGACTTAAACAGAGACAGAGTTACAGAATGGCTTTGGTCAGAATACAATATGCACGTGCAGAAAATAAAATAAGAGTACTCAGCTAAATAAGCTACAGACTGCTACTTTGAGTTCACACATCTAAATTTTCAAAGCTAGCTAGCTAATTATATTATTTATAAAACAATGTTAAACATCCATTAATGCAATTAAGATCATTTCCTCAAACATTCCACACTTCTCTAGAAGCTAAAAAGAAAACCAGAAAACCAACAGCACCAGGAACCACTTTATGATTCGAGAGTGTACTTGTCGCGCCACTATCGAACTCCATGAGAGGTAAGTTTCTCTGTTACGGAATGGCAACGAGAGAGATTGTTGTTCAAAAAGATGGATGATCGAACTGCGTTGTAACGATCATTTTTGAGGATGTTGCGTATTGTACCGCTCATTATTTTCTCTTAAACTCACAATGTTCAAGACATTTCTGGCGCCCCCGGGTGGGCGTGTTTGTTGGAAACATGTCGGATGAAAGAATAGATAGGGTAAGTTGATTACCTTATACTTCCGTTTTGAAGTTATTGATTGTTTTACTGAAGTTTAAAATACTTTTCTTGCCTAATTTTTATCTGAATATTTTAAACTTAAGACAGAATGGAAGTGATGAAAAGAAACAAAACTGCGCAACGTTCAGCTTTTACTAAAGCATATAAAAGACTAGATGATCTTTTAAATGATGATAATGTTGATTATGAAGAAGCAGAAATGTGCTTTTATTTGTTCAAGAAAAAGGCAGAAACATTAGAATTGACGCACGGTGCTTATTTAGATACTATAACTGATGATAAAGAATTCGAAACAGAATTTGAAATAACAGAGGACTATCGAGAGAAGGCTGTTAGGATACAGTTAAAATCGGAACGATTTCTTGATAATATTAAGAGTAAATTAAACGAAATCCAAAATACATTGTCAGAGAGTAGTCAGAAATTAGTTACTGATGAAAATACATGTAAAACTTTGTGCCAACGCCTACCGAAAGTAGAACTTTATAAGTTCGCAGGTGATTTAAAAAATTGGCTTACGTTTTGGAATCAGTTTAAAAACATACATGAAAATAATAACTTAACGAATGCAGACAAATTCCATTATTGATACAGTCAACAAAAATGAAATCAGAAGCTAGAGATATTGTAGAATCTTTTCCGGTGACGAACGAAAATTATCCTTTGGCTATAGAAAGCCTTACTGAGAGATATGGGGCGTAAAGAACTTTTAATTGATTTTATGTTCGAGAGTTAATAAAAACTGTTTTGGATAACGCAGCGAAAAGGAAGCAGGATTCTTTGAGTAGTTTGTATAACAAACTTTCAACACAACTTAGAGCCCCTGAGCAGTCTTGGTGTGACAACGACTGATCAGTATGTGGAAAAAATTTTATATCCTCTTGTGGAAAGTGCTATTCCTATTCACGTATTGCGATCGTTTGAAAGACAACGAAAAATTACTGAATCTGAACGAAACATTTCGAGTCCTGATGCAATAAATTGAATTTCTGAAAAGCGAAGTTCAAGTCAGAAGAAAAAAATAAAATTAAGCAGAGCGGATATTTTTTCTAAGTCTGATCGTAAGCACTTGGCAACTAGCCAAAATATTCCTTCCGCGTCGGATTTGATGAATCATGAAGCAATACCTTCTTGTTCGTTTTGTTTAAAAGATCATGAAACGCGTAATTGTAAAAAGGCGTTTTATTCCGTTAGATGAAAAATGTCCGCAGTAAAAAAGAAAGGTTTATGCAGAATATGCTTGGTTAAAGGTCACCTCAGTAACCAGTGTCGATCAAGTATTAAGTGTCAGATTTGTTCAAAAAAGGCATTTGAAATTTTTTGTCCTAGTCTTGAATGTAATAAGTCTAGTGAAATGCATAACCAGGAAAATGATGAGAAAAAAGAGAAAACAATCGATTCTTGCATTCGCGTGCTACGAATGAAGTTTTCCTTCAGACCCTAGTTGTGAACATAGAGGGTAAGAATAAAAGGCGTAAAAAGTTAGATTAATGATTGATACGGGTAGCTCAAAAAGTTATGTTTTAAAGTCTACTGCAGTAAAGAAATAGGTTTTGACTTGCAATGGGAGGAAGAATTTAGTCACTCTTTATTTGGTGGAAAGAAAACTGAAATTTATAAACATCAATGTTACAAGATTTATTTGAGTAGCCTTGATGGCAAATATTCGTGTAAATTAGATGCTGTAGACCATGATGTTATTTGTAATGATATTTCAAGCATAAGATACGGTTCTTGGATTCACGAATTAGGAAATAAGGGAATACGCTTAACCGATACCCAAGGGAATCCAGGCCCTATTGAAGTACTGTTAGGGGCAGACGTTGCAGGGAAGTTATTTACTGGCAAACGAGAAGAACTAAGAACAGGTTTAGTGGCGATAGAAACAAAATTGGGTTGGATTTTGATGGGTAAAGTACCTCAATCCGAACATCAGCACAATGTAAATATGACTATAGTTTCTATGTTATCTCAAGAAGACCTGCCTATTTCATCGTTGTGGGACTTAGAATTATTGGATATCCGAGATCCTGTTGAACAAAAAACTAAAGAAGAGTCAAGAAGAGCTATTATGGTTCATTTCCAAGAAACAGTTCGTCAATTAGAAAATGGTAGATACGAGGTTGATATGCCTTGGAAGATTGAGCATGCAGTCTTACCTGACAATTATGACCTATCTTTAAAAGACTCGAATCTACTACGAAAAAGTTGGAAAAAATCGGATATCGTGAAAGGTATCATGAAGTCTTTAATGAATGGCTGCAGGAAGGAGTAATTGAAGAAGTTCCCCAAAAGGAGTTGTCTTTACCCGTTGTTCATTACCTCCCACGTCGTCCAGTCATTGAGGAAACGTCCTCACTATCTTCCATGAAAATTAGACCCGTTTTTGATACTTCGGCAAAGCTTCCTAATCAGCCATCTCTAAATGATTGCTTAGAGACTGGGAATTAATTTGATTGAAAACTATTCCGTCTCCATTCTAGCAAGATTTCGCTTACATGAAATTGGGTGTGAAACTTCAGACATCAGAAGAGCTTTTTTACAGATATCTAACTGAAAGAGATCGAGATTTTTTACGACTTTCTTTGGTATGGTATGATGATGGTAGGTAGAAGAAAGACATTTCGTCACACCCGTGTGGTATTTCGCATTACTTTGTAGTCCATTTTTGCTGATGGTAGGTTATTGACCATCATTTATCCAAAGAAACGTTGGAAAGAAAAATATTCTGAAGAATTTCTTAAAAAATTACAAGATAGTTTTTATATCGATAATTGCGTAACTAGTGTACAAAATAATGTGTACGAACTAGACGAATAGAAATTTCATCGAATCTGCAATAACGTAATGTAATGAAAGAAGGAATGCTTTGATCTCAGAGGATGGGAAAGTTCTGGTCATTCCTGCATTTTCAGAAAAGTAAAAACATCACCGGTATTAGGACTGGTTTGGGACAAAGATTTAGATACCTTGGAAATAGACACCGAATTTTTGAAATTTGATTGAAAGAGAAAAGGTAACTAAAAGGAAAATGCTTTCACTAGTTAGTCGAGTATTTGATCCCATAGGTTTCTTTGCACCTGTTATGATTCACTCCTAAGATTTTGCTGCAGGTCCACTTGGAAGAAGCAAAGAATCATGGGATGATGAAGTGAAATGATGAAATTTAAAGAAGAAATTTTTAAAATGGGGAAAACAACCTGAAATACCTTCAAAAATATAAAAATTCCAAGATGGTTAGGTGTGATGAAGGAATCCAATTTAAGCATCCATACTTTTGTCGATGCCAGCAAGACAGCTTATGTGGCATGCATATTTTCTTAAGAAGTGAATCCAGTGTGGATTCAGTGACTGTTCAATTACTTCAAGCCAAATCACGAATAACTCCAACGAAGACTATTACTATACCACGACTTGAACTTAATGGCTGCTACCAATAGGCGCTTACGCTGTTTAGTTCTGTGAAGCAAGCTCTTAAAACTTCCCAACATCAAGACTTTACTTTTGGGTAGATTCTTCCACAATTCTTGTGTGGATAACTTGTCGACAACAGTGGTCGGTATTTGTTACCAAACAGAATAAGTGAGATTAGAAAATTGACAACATTGGGAAGATTGGTTCCATATTTCAACTGACCAGAATCAGCAGACATTTTGTCAAGAGGTTGTGGACCTAGGCAACTTCAGAAATGCAAGTGGTGGCAAGGGCCCAGCCTGGTTGAAGAATCCGAAGGAGCAGTGGCCAAGTCAGCTGTAAATATTAATGAAAAAGAAGTAGAGATAGAGAAACGAAAGTCAGTCATCTCTGCTAGTAACACAGAGCTAGAGTCAATTCCATTACAGTTAGCCAGAAGATTCTCTAGATTTCAAAGATGATTAGGGTTATGGCTTGGATACTGCGTTTTTAACCAAAGGCCAAGGACTTAAGAAAATGT